ACTTATTTCTAACGTTATCTGACTTATTTAATTTCATTTTTATTGTTTTTATCGTCCTGCAGGCTCTGTGAGAAAATTAATTTGAAGCTGAGTTTTTTTTAAATAAAATCGTTACTCTAAAGCAAAATGAGGGGAATTCTGTCTCAATTACAGACATTCTGTTCATGTGAGCAGCTGTCAGTCAGCACCTGTCAACCTCCAGATGCACSAAGGAGCATGTCTGAGCCAATCACTTTTGTTGGCATTGATAAGCTGACTGATTTAAACACATCTTAACTTTCATGAGGTCCTTTACATTGACTGTTTATGGTTGAATGTGAGCGTGTAGGGTAGAACCTGAGGCGGGACCTCGTGCGCAAACTCTGACGTGCGGCTGTGATTTATTAAGGAAAGATGCTCAGAAACATGCATATGCACTTGGACTGAGTTTTTATTTGTATTTAGTCTTTTTCAGATTGAGGCTGGGTTGATTGTAGAATGAATCCTGGTATCTGCTGGTTYCTTCCAGGAAGCGGGCACAGGAGGCTCGTGAGGCTCTGAGGTTGGGACTGCAGAGGGTTCGGCTGATCCAGGAACAGGCTCAGTCTGTGCCACAGCTCCAGTCCAGGATCAGCCAGCTGGAAGACGAGCTGCTGCAGTGCAGGTACAAAGACTGCAGTAACAAGAGGAAGAGGTGGAGGAGTGTCAGAGATGGGTGTGTTTGCAGGTCTGGTTACATTATTTACCTTCTATTTGCTGTTCGTTTGTACTTCAGCTACTGAGCACTGCAGCTGAGGTTCTCCACGTTCCACTCAGTGTGAATTAAAGTCCCAGTGTCCACTCACTGCTCTTCATCCTGCATCCTTAAACTGAGAGTACCTGATGATTCAGCTGTTTTACTGAAACCATGTTCAAAGGGAACATGACATCATGAATTGGATTAACTCTTAAACTTTGAACCACTAATTATTGAAAATGTTACATGAAAAACAGCAAAACATTTATTTTACCAAAACCTTGTTGAACAACATGGCTGCCACAGATAATCCTGGCTTTACTTCAGTCAGTTAGAACGATTTTGAGCTAAAATTAGTTGTAGTGATATCAGAGTGATAATTTGAACTCAGATGAAATCACATCATTTTACTTTCAAGGTTTAAGGGTGTTTAAATCAGTCAGCTTATCAATGCCAACAAAAGTGATTGGCTCAGACATGCTCCTTAAGGCTCTGGATGTTGTGGGGTTGTGTTGGTTGATGCAACTCTACAATATTGCGTGGACATCAGGGGCAGTTCCTCTGGATTGGCAAACTAAGGTGATGGCCCCCCTATTTAAAAAGGAAAAAGGGGAGCGCAGAGTGTGTTCCAACTACAGGGGGATCACACTTCTAAGCCTCCCTGCTAAGGTCTATTTAGGGGTCCTGGAGAGGAGGGTCCGTCAAATAGTTGAATCTTGGATTCAGCAAGAGCAGTGTGGTTTTCATCCTGGTTGTGGAACACTGGACCAGCTCTACACCCTCAGCAGGGTCCTGGATGGTGTCTGGGAGTTCACTCAACCAGTCTATGTACGTGTGTTTTGTGGACTTGGAGAAGGTGCCAACAGTGCAGACAGTAAGTTAGGTTTGTTTCCAGGTTGGACTTCGCCAAGGTTTTAACTCTGTACATAACTATTATGGACAGAATTTCTAGGTGCAGCAAGGTGTTGAGGGGATAYGTTTTGGTGACCTTAGGATCGCATATCTTCTTTTTTGCGGATGATGTGGTCCTATTGGCTTCATCAGATCGTGATCTCCAGCTCTCACTGGAGTGGTTCGCAGCCGAGTGCGAAGAGGCCAGGATGAGGATCAGTGCCTCTAAATCAGAGACCATGGTCTTGAGCCGGAAAACAGTTTAATGCCTTCTCCAGGTCGGGGAAGAGATCCCGCCCCAAGTGGAGGAGTTTAAGTATCTCGGAGTCTTGTTCATGAATGAGGGAAGAATGGAGCGGGGGATCGACAGGCAAATTGGTGCTGTATCTGCAGTGATGCGAGCGCTGTACTGGTCTGTTGTGCTGAAGCGATTTACCAGTTAGTCTACGTTCCTACCCTCATCTATAATCATGAGCTTTGGGTAGTGACCGAAAGAACAAGRTCCCAGATAAAAGTGGCTGAAAGGAGTTTCCTCTGCAGGGTGTCTGGACTCTCCCTTAGAGATAGGGTGAGAAGCTCTGTCATCGTGGAGGGACTCAGAGTAGAGCCGCTGCTCCTCCACATCAAGAGGAGCCAGTTGAGGTGGCTCAGGCTTCTGGTTAGGATGCCTCCCTGGTGAGGTGTTCTGGGTATGTCCCTCTTGGGAGTAGACCCAGAGGAAGACCCAGTACATGCTGGAGGGACTATTTTTAAGCTGGTCCAGGAACGCCTTGGGATTCCCCCAGAGGAGCTGACCCAAGTGGCTGGGGAGAGGGAAGTCTGGGTCTCTCTGCTTAGGCTGCTGCCCCCACAACCCGATCCTTGTTAATGGAAGAAAATTGATGGATGGATGGATGGCCAGATTACTTTGACATAAAAAGATGACAAAAAACATTAAAGGTTCTTCTGTCAGCACTGTCTTATTTACAGGGTTGAAAGAAGTCTAGAACTAAACTCCGACAGGAAAATCAAAGGCAGAAGTGATTAAACATATTAATTAATAATAACAGACAATAAACAGAATCAGAGCTCCACACTGAGCTGGGTGTTAGAGTCAGGTTGGTCAGTAACACTCAGTTTGTCTCCTTCAGAACTGCTCCTGCCCCTCAGCTCATCAAGTCTGAAGACGCCTGCAGGAGGACGATTGAGGAACTGGAACAAGGTGTCTGCATGGAAACATAAGACTTATACCTGAAGAAAAGACAAGAAAAGAGTGATATTGATGACTTGTGTGATTTCAGATGCTGAGTGTCTGCAGAGGGCAGTGGAAGGAAGAGCTGCCTCTGATGAAGACGAAGATGACAGGGAGATGAAGAGACTCATGTCACATGTCTGTGGGATGAGGTCAGCATATGTTTCAACTTTCAGATATTCTGTTTGTTATTCACCAAACAGCTCTGGTGGTCCACATGGAACAGGTCTGCTTTTATTGTATCAGCCTTGAGCCTGGAAGGAACCAGCATGTTAGGAACATTTAAGTGTTTTTAAAACAGGTTCTGCTTCTGTAAATTAACCCTGACCCTAACCCCACATCATTCACACTTAGTCCAGACCTTTAAACCCCCCCCCCCCCCCAATTGTATTCCAACAAATTAGGACTAGTCTTTGGTCCTCAAAAGGACTACTGGTCCTGACAATGTTGGTGTTTGTACCAGGACTGGTCCTAAAATGTTGAAAAATAAAATAACATAAAACAAATATGCACACACTTGTTTCTTCTTCTATGCTCATGGGGACTTTGTATTGACTTCCATTCATTTTTGTAACTGCATTTCTGCCTAACCCAAACTTTTTCCCTAACACCATTACTGGTCTATTCCTAATTATAACCTGAACCAAAACGTCATTCAGATCATACCTCTAAACCTAACTAGTATAATGCAGTAGAGCTGCAAAAAAGTGAGGACCAGGAAAATGTCCTCACTTTGGCCCCGTTTACACGGAGCTGGTTTTCAGTGAAGCATGCGTAAACAGCCAGCACACGGCAAAATATTCTTCTAAAATAACAATTACAATACATTACAGACAGCAGAGTGTTTGTTTTTTGTGTTACCATTTGCAGCTTGTAGGAGAAAAACCCAAAAAGCATCCTAGGTCCAAAGCAACGTTAGTTTAATCACCAGGTTCGGATGTAACTGATCATGCAGCCACTGTATGATCAGTGCCTGAGTGAGACCGACATCATGGTTGCCAGATAAATAAAAAAAATTGTCCCTCTTTTATTGTGTACATTTTCACCAAACACAACACACACCTTATCTTACAACACTCTCACTCAGCATATACAGTACAGAACAAAAGTTTGGACACACCTTCTCTTTCAAAGAGTTTTCTTTAGTTTCATGACTATGAAAATTGTAGATTCACACTGAAGGCATCAAAACTATGAATTAACACATGTGAGATTATATACTTAACAAAACAGTGTGAAACAACTGAAAATATGTCTCATGCTATGTTCACACCGAACACGTTTTGAGCCGCAGGAGTGGCTGGTTTAAATGCAAAGTCTATGGTGGACGCGCCACATATATAACTCTAAGTAGTGATGACTTCTTGAGATTCTTTATAGATAAAATTATTTTAATAAGGAATAAAATTCATGCCAAACTTCCTGCTACTGCCTCTGATACTCTGTCAGATGATGAAGTTTTGTGGCCTTTCCCAATCAGTGGCTACACCCTCGCCCAACTCCCTACACACTACAGTCTCTGTGAAGGCCCCTCGCAGCTGAACTGAGTCCCCTTGATGGCGCTGTAAGGTCTAATTATAAACCCTCCTCTTTTGAGATGGGCTCTCCTCACATTACCAGGAAGCTGTCATCACCATGGAAACAGTCCAAGCTCTGGCAGCGACTGAATGCTGGAGAACGAACGCAGATAAGATTGTTTAGAAGACACTCTTTTTAATAGACCAAAGAAAATATTTAATTAGGACCACATTTTAGAGAGTTTTCAGATATGACTGTATTTGTAACAAACACTGATAACTTGTCAAAATAATTGCACTTTTAACATTTTTTATAATAATTTATTTACTTTTTCTTTGTTTTTAAAAAATTTCCTTTCTTCTTTTTTAAATATGGGCCAGGGTTCTGTGTCTTTAATAAAGTTTGAATTGAGCATGATTTAATTACAGTCAATGTGAAATTATATTTGTTGGTGAGGTGTTTACTTAGTAAATATTTGTACAAAATGTGGAACTTATATTTACACGTCCTGTGCTCCATTCCGACCACTATTTGGTGCTACACCTGTTGATCAAGTCTGCATTGGATGCTGACTTGCTGTGGAGGGTTTTATAAGCCACTCGCCCTCGTACGTAATTGGTTTCAGATGGGACCTAATTTGGCCAACCCTCCGCGGGCACGCGCAAACAGACTGAGGAGTGAGTAGGGCGAGGATGTAGCCACTGGTTGGGAAAGGGCCGTAGTGTCACTAGAACCTGATTTATGTCTGGACAGTTTTTGTCCTGTTGAGCTCTCTGAATTATCTAAAATAATAGCTTCATCCAAACCATCAACATGTCTGCTAGATCCCATCCCAACCAGACTGTTCAAAGAAGCATTTCCTTTAATTAATACCTATATTTTAGATATGCTTAATTTGTTTCTAATAAATGGTTATGTACCACAGAGTTTTAAGGTTGCTGTAATTAAACCTTTACTTAAGAAACCTGATCTTGATTCAAGAGTTCTGGCCAATTATAGACCAATATCCAATCTCCCATTCATCTCAAAAATTATTGAGAAATTAGTGGAAAATCAACTATACATGAACATCTGATAGAAATAATCTATACAAGGAGTTTCAGTCAGAGTTTAGAGCTCATCATAGCACAGAAACAGCACTAGTTAAAGTTACTAATGATATTCTCATGGCCTCAGACAGTGGACTTTTGTCCATTCTTGTCCTGTTAGATCTCAGTGCTGCATTTGATACAAGTGATCACAATATTTTATTACGTAGACTTGAACTTGATATTGGGATTACAGGAACAGCTCTGAAATGGTTTGAGTCTTATTTAATGGATTTCAGTTTGTTAATGTTAATAATTAATCTTCTGCTTACACCAGAGTTAGTCATGGAGTTCCTCAGGGTTTAGTGCTTGGACCAATCCTYTTTACTTTAAATGTGCTTCCGTTAGCTAAAGTTATTAAACAGCATGGGATATATTTCCATTGTTATGCTGATGATACTCAGTTATATTTATCCATGAAACCTGATGAATCCAACCAGTTACTTAAACTACAAGCATGTCTTAATGACATAAAAACATGGATGACTCTTAATTTTCAGCTTCTAAACTCAGATAAGACAGAGGTTATGGCTTTTGGACCTGAACATCTTAGGGATCAACTTTGTAGCCTTTCACCTCCTCTGGATGGCATTAATCTGGCCTCCAGTTCTAATGTAAAGAA